ATATATAATTTAATAATTATATCATAAATATATATAAAAAAATATGAATTAATCACATTAATTTATTTAATATATTTTAATATAAATTGCAATTCGTAAATAATAATAAAAAAAATATGGAATAAATTTTTTTCATAAATATTTTTATTTATAAAAATATCGATTTTAAAAAATTTAAAATTTAATTAATTTAAATTAATTCATACATAATTAAAATTAATTTAAAATAATTTAAAAAAAATATATATTGAAAGAGGTAACAGTTAAAATTACGATAATATACGTTTATACGATCATTTTCCTCAATTTAGCTATAATTTTTCAATGAATAGTTAATTAAGAAATATTTCTCTATGACTTCCTCATTCAAATATGTAAATCTGTAGAGTTATAATAATATTTTACATCGTGTAAGTAATATAATAGACAATTTTTATTGAATTTTATTAATAAAATAATTTTTGATCGTACTAAATTTTGTTTAAATAATAAAAAATAATTTTGAAATTTAATAAAATAAATTAGATAATTAATCATTTGTAAAATTGCATTTTTTATATATATTTTAATTTCATATATTGAAATTTATTGAATATATTGAATTTTATTTATAAAAATTAAAAATGTTTAATTATTTAGAAAAAATTTAAAAATTTGAATTATAATTGGTTTATTTATAGAAAACCAAAATCATTTAAATTGCAAATTTAAGAATGATGATTTAGATTTTATCGATACGAGATTTGAACTTCATTTTTCAAACGATAAATAAAACTGTGTCAAAAATGTCACTAAAAATGAAATTACATAATGATATTTTCATTCTATTTCTGATTTGCAAATAATTTATTATTTAATAGACTTAACATAATATTTAAAATATTATATATTATAAATCTTATCATTTTGAATAAATAATATTTCTTTTTTAGTAAATTTAGTAATTAATTTTTTTTTATATCTTTTTTTTTTTCATATCTATACATATGATTATTTAATCATGTGTATCATGTGTATCATTGTAGATAGATCAATATCGCTTAAAAATTTCTAAAGTGAATCTACTAATCATTTTTCAGAAAAATCAATAACACGTTCTATAATAACATTATTTATTATTTTTCTAAATAAACAATTATTTATTATTTTTCTAATAATACGAAATTGATATTTAATTTATAAAATTTATTAAAAAAATAATTTTTTAAAAATCTGTCAATTGATATTTCTTTATGTCTAGACAGAATAGAGTCTATCTTTTTTTTAGGAATTTTTCTATGTTTTTACAATTCTTGTTTTATAGTAAAATAAAAATATAGTAAATAATATAGTAAAAAATAATTT